CATACATGTTAAACCGAAAACAGTTTGCCGATTGGAAAATCTCTCGTTTTTGGGGATCGAGTACAATCACGGTTTTGTACAGCTTGCAACAGAGGCGTAATAAAAAAGTACAGTATACAAAAGAAGCTCGATAACAGAACGGTAGAACCAACAGAGTAATCGGAACAAAATAAAAAGAAATAGCTGAAGCGTACGCGCAGTCGCTGACGAAATCGCGACGAGATATTTTGAATCGAGATGTACTCGAAATACGATACTATTGGTCGCTTTTCTTCACGATTGGCACACATTTATCCGGTTTGTACGGTTCGTGACCGATTGTGCGTGTCGCGTCATGTGTGTATGTGTTTGTGTGAGTGTGATCAATAACATATCCTAATAAAAATTTCATTTCATTTCATTTCCCCGAGTGGTTCGATTCATTGTCCCTCTTGAAAACCTTTCCGAATTATTACCTTTGGGATGAAAAGTTTCCCTCTTCGAAATCTCTTCTTTTGAAATCCGTCGACATTTTCGCAAAATTGGAAATCAATTTAAAAAACAAAAGCTCGATATATGTATATCGTTTAAGATTCAGATGAATAAACGAAAGCATGTATATCGTGTGATGCTCAAATGCTCGCCTGTGGATCCGATAAGAGCGTAGTCTGAGCGAAATGTGATCGAGGCAATTAGTCGTATTGATTCTGAAAAGAGAGATGAGTCGCGCGAGACTCGAGCGAGTAAAGCAGGAGTAGAAGGTCGATTTACTCATTGAAAATCAAACTCGACAAGCTGGATGCAAGAAGAATAAATAATACAAAATATAAGATACTCGTCGCGTATTCTTGTCGAAAAATCGTGCGATCGACGTAGGCGTGATTCGATATCTGGTAAGATGGTCTAATTAGAAGATAATAAAGCCAACTATAGTTCCTACCAGATATCGGCAGCGCAAATCAGTTTTATTACAGTTTTATTACATGTGATAAATCGCCGATGATAATTTTTAAACTGTTAAAATTCAAACTTCTCGCCACGATCGAAAACTGAAACGCGCCAATACGCGAGAAATCGGCGTTCTGCATTTGCACATAATTGAATATTAATCCCATTCTTTTGTGTTCCAATATTATGTAAATTTGGAAAATTTGCATTGGCGCAGACGTGCGTCCACTTGCCAGTTGTAGTAAAATTCAGATTCTAATAATTATCCTCGTGGCACGTAACTTGCAAAACGGACCGATTTTTGCGGGAACGACACAAACGACACAAGCCGCAATGCGCTTTGTAAACGAAATAAATTTTATGCAATCCAAATCTCTTTAAATCAAAACGGATTGAAAGCGAATTATCTTGTCGGTTTCTCATACAGTATCTAATTAAAAAAAAAAAAAAAGAAAAAGAAAAGAGAAAGAAACATGCACTTCGATATAATTTTAATATATCGTACAGGCGAGAATAGAGTTGATGAAAAAAATCCTGCCTCCTCGCATCACGACTATGTATCTTTGCAAATTAAAGAAAAGAAGCATTTATATCGAAGAAAAGCCGAGCAACGATTTGCCATCAACTTTATTCTAAACTTCCTCGGCATGGGGTTGCAGTGATCAAGTGAGATGTTTGTACGTGTGATGAGTCGAGACTCTTGATCGTCGAGATGATAACGCCGAGGGGGGATGATTGGTATTGCAAGAGAGACGGTGCTGAAAGTATTTAAGATGTGTAATATGTGTTTAAGCGGTTTGTACATGAGAGAAAGAGAAAGAGAGAAAGAGAGATAGAGGAAAGACAGAGAGAAGAGAATTAGTTAGTAGAGAAAACTCGTGATTGCGGTGGTGATCTTAATCGTTTTGGTGTGTGAAAATCGGTGTGACTTGTAATCCTCGTTAAGTAAACGAAAGAAAAGACACGTCAGTGAGGATCTCTTGTGTATATTATTGTGTTAACTAACCTCGTCCTTGTCCAAGCCGAGCTACGAAAACGTTAAACTGAGGTTAAAACTTGTTCTTTTCACACCACACAGGGATGAGTTATAATTTTATTTTCCAAATCGTTTTTACGTTTCAGCATTCACTTAAATTAGGAGTAAGAAATTCATACAAATTCTCATTTTCATCTTGAACAAATTGCCGAGATGGATGACTTTATTAATTACTTTCGTAACACGGAAACTGGTCGATTGGGAATGTAAATGATATTCTGATCTCTCTTATTAGGGGCGCGATAAATTAAATTAATTACAGGAAGAATTATTTATATTCACCGTTTTTTTCCCTACATAGACTATCTTCATTAGCCACCGGCTATATCGTTCATACAATCGAGGAGAGAGAGAGGAGAGAGAGAGAGAGAGAGAGAGAGAGAGAGAGAAAGAGAGAGAGAGAAAGAGAGAAAGAGAAAAAGAGATAAATAGAGACTTTATAGAAAAATCTCACAAAAAGAATCATAAAGAACTCATGAAAGAAAGTCGAAAAGAATCACTTGAAACGAAATAAATAAAAAGAAAAAAGAAACACGATTAACGAAAAAGATATAGAGGAGAATCTTGACGAAGATCTGATATAATATGTATAGTCTAATACTTTGACAATCAGAGCAGAAATTTTCACAGCGACAAACTAGATATTTACTTACATATTTATGAAGAGTATATGCATACGTGTGCGTACAGGTACGAGTCACAGTTCGAGGAAACAAAGGCATCTATGTTAAGTTACACGCATGTTGTTCCGCATGATACGTAACTTTGTTACTGATAGTTATTGAGGCTGAAATGTCGCACGATCGCTTGTCGATCGCGTTCATCTATAATTTCGCTTCTATTGGCAGTTCAACGTAACGCGATGATTCGGATCGGCAAACGGGAAAGCGGACACCGTTGTGCGATTGACTCCCGACCGACGCACGTGTAGCACACGTTTTAAACGTTGTGTAAAAATCCGTACCGGACAGCGAGACGCCATTAGAACGTCCCTCGCTCGTCCGTACGTATACATTGTGTGCACATTAACACGACGACTCGACTAACTCTCGACAAAGGAAAAAACGAAATCATTCAACACCGAGAGAAAATGGTCGAAAAAATAGGGAGAAACGAGAATTAAGCACCAGTCCGGTAAAGTCACATCTATGGGCACGTAACTTGGGCTCGGCATGTCATCCTAATCATATTTACCAGCTAACACCGACATTCTAAAAAAAAATTCTGCCCCGGCGATCTGGCGTTCGCGAGTTTATCTCTTTATTTTTCATTTTTCAGATCTCATTTTCTTTTTACTTTTTTCCTTTATTGCTTTGATGCTCGATATTACAATTTCGTTTCGTCTTAAAAATTAAAACGTGACGAGACAAGTGATGATCAACGAAACGAGAGATATTAATGAATCACAAATTGTTGCAATTTTCAATAATTCGCGAAATAATAAGTCGATAAATTTGGCGTGAGACATAATCCCGCGAAACGCCAGACCCGGCTTGGAAGAAAGATCTAACGTAATGCAAAGCGTGCGACGAAACTTACCTCGTCAGTGTCCGATCCGACGAGTAGGAGGTCGAAGGGAATGGCAGCTACCAGGTCGATGATGAACCAACCCCTCAGATAATGGACGGCTATCTTTCCAGGATGGGAGACCACCTCATCGTTGCTGTTGACGAAAGTCGTGCGAAAATTTATGATGATGTCCACGATGAAGGTGACGTCGACTAAAAGACAGAAATATGCCGCTATAGTCTAAAGAAATTGACAATTATCTAATATTTCTGTAATTATCAGAGATAGTCGATTATAATAAAAAATTTTTTTTACATCAAACAGATTGTATTTAATCTTTATTCAATTTCTATACACACAAAATTAAGATCCCCGTACATCAAGTAATATCGAGAGTAATATCATTGCGTCCTCCCAAAATTTCGATAAAACTGAAATTGATTTCTGAAGCGAAGTAATATGAGATAGCTATTCCCGAACTGTTCGTTTGGACATTTCTCCGATTTCTTCTCCATTCGTTCTATTCCCGTGCTATTGTCTCTTTATCCGTTCTATTGTTTCAGAACTCATGACACGTGTTATCCTACATTGTGTTATGAAACATTATATAATGCTGTTCAGGCATCGATATCAAATTTAGAACTTAATACTTTAAAAACCGGTTTTATCTCTTAGTATGTCAGATGATTTAACAATATCATATCATTTTTAATTAAAATTCACTTCCGTTATAAAATTTTTCTCTAATTTCAAAAATCAAATTTTATATATATATATATATATGGCAAGTATTAAATTATTCAACTATTAAAATTAAAATTTTGATTTAAAAAACGATTATTATCATTATTATCACATTATATCACTTGTAATTAGTCAAATCAACATAATTATTTATACTTTTAGGTATTATTAGTCGTTATATATAGTTTTCTACGCTAAAAATAAAATTGTAAAAGAGTAAATTTTGGCGATTGCTCACCTATGAGGTCTATGATGACGATAGGATCGTCACTGTACTTTTTGTTCTTCCTGCTGTTGTATTCTGAATCCGACAGAACAAAGGCGGCAACGTACGGCGTAAATATGGCGGTGTACATCACGAGCAACAATATAATCCAATCCCAGACCGCCTTGAACGGCGAATAGTGTAGTATGGTCCACTTATGGATTCTGGGGGACTGTAATTTGTACTCCGGGAGGACGTCTGCTCCGAGGGACAGTACCTGCGACAGGCGATATCGAAATTTTGAAATGGAGTTCCTTCATCTTCATTTTTCTATTTTTCACATTTTCTCTGCTCTACATCCTCGGAAAAGCTCCGTCACGTAGAATAAAATGCTTTACGTCCGGCGAAGGAGAGGTCCGACACGTTATATAAAAATGCGGTCCGAGTGGAGCGTTCCGTGTACATAGAAAAAAAAAAAAAATAGAAGAAAAAAGAAAAAAGTACGTCGCGCTTCGGACAGGTAACGGAAAGTGGTTTTCCATCAGCACGAAATCGTTTATACCTCGCGGCGAACGTTCCGGCAACATTGTCCAAACATCGTTACTCGACATGCAACGACACCGGGATAACGTTGTTCACGCTAAATTGCATCACGAATAACACACTTATTCGAGGCGCCTCGATCGTGAAGGGAGTGTGATGTCGCGCGAGTGACGTTTAATGTCATCCGCAAGATACGCGGAGGAAGAGCGCGGAAGCGACTGCGAGCAAGACTGTTTGCTGACCTGTCGAGCGCAGAAGCGTTTCGAGTTACTTATTGGACTCTCTGCCATTTAAGACGCGCGCGGGTTCGACCGGGAATCGATCAGCGGTGAGACGTGAATCGATGATGCGCGCCAAGCGAGCTCGAGGATTTCCCCGAGGGAGTGGTTTTTACGCCAAAGGTGCCCGTACATCCATCTCGTCAACCCGATCCGGCCGGTGGATGAAAGTAGATCTTTCGAATCACGCTGCTCCACATCTCCGAGAGCATCGCCTCCAAACAGCTGTTGAACTCTTTCCCCGCCGAGCTGTTATCCCCTATATTGTTTCCCGATGTTCGAGGGGTGTACGCCCGAGGGATTATTACGGTCACAAGTGCCCCCGAGCTTAAAAACACCTGGCTTCGTGCTCGAGCGAGAGCTTAACCACTTAGCTCGCCGTCGTAATCCGCAATTTCTTCAAAGCCTCGTGTTCGTCATAATACCGAACGCTGGCGATCGTCTTTGGGTTGCTCGCATACCAAAACCATGAAAGAAACGAACGGGGAAGAATTTATCGGAACACGCGAGAAACACGTTAACACGGCAGCGACCACTGTCGGATGGAAATTTCGAAATTTGCGGATTCGCGTCGCGACGGAATGATGAGGCGGAAAATCGACGGCTCCTCGGAGGGCGACTCTCCCCTCGAAAACGCGGCCGATATTTCGAGAATTATCGATCGCCGCACGCGGTGCTCGGAATCGAGGACGCTTGTTTACGGTTTGGCGGGAACGTGGGAAGAACCGGAAGAGTGCCGTCCGAGCGCTAGCTTAACACTGATGCAATGCGGCCCGACGAAGGGAGGCGTTCGTTCGATTGGCTCGGGGTTGGCTGGCTTGGGGCTAGCTGGCTGTTCGCGAGAAGCGGCGTGCGGGTTAGGGTAGCACCACCGTCACACCCTCAGCCAGCATATTTCAGTCCGTGAAGTGTCGGGTGGCACAACACTGAGCCGCCCGAGAGTCGTCGGGCCGTCGGCAGTAGTTTCAGTGAGGACTACTTCGGGAGTTCGATAACGATAACCCGTACTCGAGAGGCTCGTAACAGAAACTGACGATCCTATCTCGGACGAAGTCGCAGTTCGCTCCCTCTTACTTCGCCCCTCCTTCCCTCCCCTGGTGCCGTTGATTTATTATTATCAACCCCCTGCCGATAAACGGCCGATAAGTGGATAAAAATGGAAAATGGGATATTGCTGATGCGGATGCCAACATCATTATATAGCTTCATGTTGCTGATACTTGACGGTGATTCCGAGTATCCGGACCGACATTGCCTTCCCTATGCTTCCGTTTATTGATCTTTGAATCAGCCTTTGAACGGCCTTGATCGGCCATGTGATCTATTCCACGCTAAATTTACCATTTTAACTCTTTGCAGATTAATACTTATATATATATATTGCCGCAACGTTTCTCTTTAATTTAATATATAATTCTTCTAAATAAATAGAGATCTGAATTTTCTTCTTTCGATATTCATATGCGACTAGCGTTAAATTTTTAATTTGGTGTGATGTGATTATTATATTCATATTTTTATTTATCTCATATGATTTATATGAATATCGAATACGTTCGGTGACAGATAAATCTATCTTGCTGCTATGTTTTTAAAAGGAAAAGACTCAGGATAGCTCGAGCTTTCTTCCTTAGCTTCTTTATCGATTTTTTTATTATCAGCTTCCATCTGGTGGAAAGCGTGTAGTCAGGCGGGTCAGGGGAGGCGAAGTAGAAACTCGCTGGTTGGCTCGTCAGAGACAGCCGCGAGAATGTAAATTCAGGTAGGTCATGTTTTATTCATGCACCCGATGCTAGGTGAGAAGGATCGCGCGGGCGACCTCATTCCAATGACCCGAAGTTATTGCAATTTGTGCCGTCTCTTATAAACTACAAGGGAGATGTATGTCGAAACACAATACCAAACACAAATTCCAAAAATGTATGCATGGAAAAGCATCTTCGACAAACTGAATCTTTAAACCAAACTGAAAATAAACTAGACTGAGGTGCGCCATAGAAATATCCTCATTTCTTTTAAATTAATGCTTTTTTTATTTTTGCGCTTTTTTCCTTTTCTTCAGTTTTTTTCAATTATTTTTCATAAAAAGAGCCTCCAAAAGCAAAATTGAATGTACAAGTAATAAATGGTTGAATAAATTAACAGTCGGGAAAAGATCCTTTAACGTAATTTAATCGTAACTTGATTCTGGCGAGCTAGTCATTCATGCATGCATGAAATTTCTCTTCGACCTAAGATGTTATGGAGACGCGAGGTAATCGAATACACGAAAGAGGATGGCGAACGGTAGTTATCACGTGACGTGACCTGGAATTATCGGATAGCTACCGCGTTACGTGATCATGATCTATCAGTGTTTAACAAACCAGGAAAAATGGCGTCGAGATAAGGCGCGCGAAAAGTATCACCAGCGCAACAATGCGGAAATTTATGCTTCCTTCGAAACCCTCCTCCAATCCTGTTGCGTCGCGGAGGGAGATGCGGGGATGGGGATAAAAGAGACGGGTGATAAAAACTTGAAAACAATCTAATCAAAAATCGTAACAGCCATTTACGACTAGCAATTTCGACTGCGCACTCCTTTATGAGTTAGGTCCAACTCCCCCGCAGCCGGATCTAATATTTGCAGACTCAACGGCGGAGCCGTTTCCCGCGTAAATATGTACCCGACACGTGTAAAGTAAAATATGTATCTGCAGCTTCTGTAGTGCGATAAGAACGCTTTTTAGAATAGCCTCTGGAATCTTCTGGAAGGTATGGGAATGCTCTTTGAATCACGAAAGTAACGAGTCCGCGCGGCAAATATAGCGACGCAGTAGTAAAATAGGAAACGTAAGTGTTCGCATTTAAAATCACTCTTTAAACCGAGCGAGAATAAAACGGCAGTTACTCATCGCGCTAATTTCGTAACGTTAAGCGTTTCGCGGATATGGCCGGGGCGTTCCGCGAGTGTCATAAGTTTGTCTAAAATTAGGCGAAATTTATCCCCCGACTAATTCGATCGGCATCGGGATAATGACGATTTCCCATATATTGATAAACCAGGCGAACGCGAACGGATATATATATTTATATTTTCGCGCGGCGTTTTTAAAGCACTACCTTGAAAATGAGGTCGCGTCAGCGAAACGGCGCGGAGTTATAATCCATTTTAACGGGAAGAAAGCTCCTGTCAAAGCTCCTGTTAGCGCTCCCGAGATGTACGGCCTCGTAATGCATAATAACGGGTCAGCCACGACGAGTGGCGTCCGGCGGATTTGCACGGATTTGCTACGCAATATTACGATCGATATCGCGCGGAATGTACGTGCCATTCCATCGCAAATTGGACGAACCCATTCGCGGTTTGATAGCCCTGATAAACGCGAATAAACAATGTGATTAAGATGATACGCGCGAAAGAGAGAGAGAGAGAGAGAGAGAGAGAGAGAGAGAGAGAAGTAT